TTTTGTGGTGCCTTGATTTGGTTGTGTTGTCTTTGGTTGTGTTGTCTTGATTTGGTTATGTTGTCTTGATTTGGTTGTGGTGTCTTGATTTGGTTATGTTGTCTTGATTTTTTGTGGTGCCTTGATTTGGTTGTGTTGTCTTTGGTTGTGTTGTCTATGGTTGTGTTGTCTTGATTTGGTTATGTTGTCTTGATTTTGTTATGTTGTCTTGATTTGGTTCTGTTGTCTTGATTTGGTTCTGTTGTCTTTGGTTATGGTGTCTTGATTTGGTTGTGGTGTCTTGATTTGGTTATGTTGTCTTGATTTGGTTGTGTTGTCTTTGGTTGTGGTGTCTTGATTTGGTTGTGGTGTCTTAATTTAGTTATGGTGTCTTGATTTGGTTATGTTGTCCTGATTTGGTTATGTTGTCTTGATTTGGTTGTGTTGTCTTTGGTTGTGGTGTCTTGATTTGGTTGTGGTGTCTTGATTTGGTTGTGTTGTCTTTGGTTGTGGTGTCTTGATTTGGTTGTGGTGTCTTGATTTGGTTGTGTTGTCTTTGGTTATGGTGTCTTGATTTGGTTATGTTGTCTTGATTTGGTTGTGTTGTCTTTGGTTGTGGTGTCTTGATTTGGTTGTGGTGTCTTGATTTAGTTATGGTGTCTTGATTTGGTTATGTTGTCCTGATTTGGTTGTGTTATCTTTGTTTGGTTGGTTGACATTGTTGATGGTTATTTTCTGCAGCAGTTGTTTTCTTAAAGCTCCTGGGAGGATTGTTTTGGTTGGGTATGGAGCTCACTTAAACTGATATCGTGAAATGGTTTACAAACGCAAACAAGATCTTAAGATAGAATATATTTTCTTCTGTGAAGTTATTCTTATTCGTTACTGCTTTCAGCGGGTTGGTGTCATTTTCTACAGCCAAGATTCAGAGTTAGGGATATATTTGACGGTTCAAACTTGGCAGAAGGAGATTTTTCATCAGTAAACACAACTTACACAAGCACAGGACAAGATCAGCGAAGAGATAAGAGGTCAAACTTTGTCTCCAGGGGATGCTTAGTGTGACACAACGGTTTTTAGTTGTACGGTGTTAAGCTCTCAGGTTCACAGCCATATTGTCTTAAGTGGAAATTCATCCTTTGTAATTAGCATTTAAAATCAAATGTCATTATATATAATGAGGTAAAATAAGTGTATAAAGAAGTTTTTTATAAACATGTTTGCATGATTGTTATCCTAATTTACCTTACACACATTTACGCCATCATAAGAATTGTTTTGTATCCCAGCTCCATTGGTTGCCTGATAAATCATCAACAAAATCTTTTTAACACTTTATCATACTTATGGTATTATAAAAACTATCCCTTCATCCAGTGTATTCTCTGGAGTAACTAGGGTTCATCTTAAAAGCAGGAGATATGGTGACTACACACCATCTTTATATGACTGAAATACATAAAAAAAAACTACAACAGGCTGTATGGGCGATATACAAATAGACTATATGAGGAATATTTAATTTCTAAGAACTTAAGGTTATATATATCAATATTGTTTTTTAGTTCATTAAGATTTCACAACTGATGTCAAGACAATGCTTTAATTTTTTAGAATGAAATAGAAACAATGTCATAGGTGACAATATTGTTAAAAGCAGCGAGTGTCATCATATAAATCATATGTAAGATAGAAAATATGAGACAAAATTATTAGGAATAACTATAAAATGTTTAATTACATATATATTACAGAATACAATTATATTGTGTCTTGTTAAGTCTTAATCTATTGTTTGTGGCCACCTCCTCCCACATACACATCCATAGGGCCCCATTGTACCAGGTCGCCCTGAAATCCTGGCTGCACTAGTTTCCTGTTAGGGGCTGGTGACAGCACAGGGTCAAGTGAAAAGTCAAAAAACTTGCTTTTATGTTGAGATAACAGTCTAAAGAAGATACAAATGACATATTTTAATGTTTGGTGTCCTTAATTAAAAAATGACAGAATTTGATATACATACCTTTTGAATTTTTGTTTCAATTTTCAATTTCTGCCTAAACTACAAGTGTGTTTAAGTGTTTTTGAAAATTCAAAAATTGAAAATGGTATTGATAAAAACTTTGCATAATTGTAACTAATAACTATCTGTAAACATCCTGTCCAAATTTGGTGAAATTCTGATTCCGATTCCCAGAGATACATGTGATAAGGCTAGAGCTGTCCCTTTTGGAGAAGCCCTAATTTGACCTATTTTCGTTTTTTGGTAAGATGCATAAAACATGCAAAAAAGTTATTTTGCAGTAAAATATTTTTATACAACAATCCGTTTCATAAACTAGACATGTTCAAGTTATGAAAAAATATGGTCGTGCTTTGTTCTACCTCGGGTAGGGGTCTCTCAACTTTTAGGGGCCCAAGTTCCTCTACTAATAGGGGGAGATGAGATTAGATGCAGCAAGAAGTATAGGGGGAGGTGGGGGGGTTGTTGTTCAGACAGGCCATCCACCAACAATCCTGAGGAGCCAAAGAGCGCTCAGGAGCTTCATCGTGTTCTCAAGGGTAATAGTCAGGTGTACAGTGCTTCAGAACAGCTAGGCTATCTAATGCGGCAGGGAACAATATGTGGTAAATTAAACCTCTACACCCCTTCTCCATGCTGGTGCATAAAATAGCTAGTCAGACTGGTATAGATGAACAACACACAGAATCAACAGTCATGGCCAGGATGTCCTTTAAAACCTGAAGGAGGTCCAGATATATTGTCTGATGTTCTGAGCTTGCTAGGAGTATAAAAATCAGACTGTGAACAGTCCAATACTCAAACAACCTCACAGCCTTTGGAGTACTGTGTACACTATCAAGTGGGTTTGATGATAAGTACAGCTGAAAGGGACTAACAATTTCACTCCCGCAAGAACAATTTCTCATGTCCCTTTACCCTCGGTAAATCAATTACTTCTTCATGGTCGATTTCCTTTATCATTCTTCCTTGTGTAGAACGGAAGGAGAGTAGGGCTAGCGTGAAGCCCCTTTCTTAGATGACAAGTAATGGGACTGCTGGTAGAAAGAATATTTCTTCTCTACAGGGAAAAAAAGTCCTAAAAGGACTTTCCTTAAAAAGTCCTTATAATACAATACAAAGTGATATAAAAGTCAAGATATGGGCACATGCACTCCAGTGGCAATAAAACCCACCACTAGATCTGGTGCCATGAACTTTAGCATATAAGAGGACATATTCTCCCCCTTCTCCACCTTTTCAATCAGTCCCCTGTGGTCTAAATGAAACATCTATGCTGTGCTTTGTTCAAAATATAACATGAGTCAAGCACCAGAGGAGGTTTGTGACCCTGTAGAAACCAGCTCTCTCAGAACGCTCCGTTTTGGTGTGTGTCTCTTTAAATGCAATAAGCCCCCCCTGAGTTTTCCCGGTAGATATCAGGGGAGAGGAGGGGATTTTTTTTTTTACCAGAATCCCACTGTGACATCACAAGAACAGCTAATTTGAAACGGAGCACTTTTCTCTGTATTGTAAGACTTATGCAGACTACAAACAAAGAACTGGATGGATTTATTTCACATTTTGTCAGTAGTAGGTTACCCAAATATATGTTTAAAAACACTATAGAAGTGGATTTTTCACAATATGCCCCCTTTTAAAAAAGACTGTGGTCCATTGGCAGTTTAAAGATACATTCAAAGCTATGTAAACAGCAAAGTTGTAATGTGTCAGCTGTTATGATGTCCCTGTTTAACTAAACTATTATATCTAGCATCTAGCTACATTATTTGTGTTTATTTGCTTTGTCGGGCCAGCGAGGGGACGCAGACTTGCATCTGCACAATCTAACTCATAAGTATGACTTTCTATATCATCATTTTTTCTATACCATCATTTTTATTGCATAATTATAACTTAACAAGGGCAATTGGTTTTAATATTTTTTTGGCTGAAATTGTCTTCCATACACAACTGCCACACACATGTCCTCCCCCTCCATTTGGTTTTTCAGAGGTGTCAACGCAAATGTTTCTTCCTGCAGCACATCGGAGTTCACAGACTCTGCTCAATATCTCTTAAATCACTTGACTCATCGCTGGCAGAAGCATGAGTCCACATACTTTATATATTCTGTTTTCATCCAAGGCTTCTCTTTTTTCACTTTTTTTGTATATGACGACCCAACCAGTCATATTCATAACTTGCAACTGGTACGGCTGGAAAGGGGCTGTTATATGACACACATTTGAGTTAATAAAACACTTTTTTTCACATTTGCACATTTTTATACAGTTTGAAAATTTAGAAGACACTTTGCAACCATGATAAAAAAATGAAATTAGAGGTTTTTCTATTGCAATATCCTTTTTGGGAAAAGGAGCTGCCTGTGAATCAGGAGCTTGAGGTTCCCAATCCACGAACTTGCAACTTGAGAAGCAATAATAGATTTTGAGTTTGGAGACAAACTCATTCTTTTTTCCAACAAAATTGATCGCTGCACTATATGCGCATATATCTATTTACAGAGATAATGTCGAGGCTGTGTTGTTGTCTAATACAAGCCAATTCGTTCCAAAATTACAGTGCTGCCTTTAAGTTTTTTCTTCTTTTCAAACAGATTTCCTTTAGATACCAAGGCCTGTTAAAATGTAATTGATCAATAATAGTCAAACTACAAATGCAAACCAGAATGGTCAAGAATCTGTTCCCTGGCATCAATAGTCTGTATGCCTGTGCAGACTTACCTTTATAAAGAATATCAACAAACTAAAATGCACTTCCGCCCCTAATTGTTAATGTTTAATGTCGCAGTGCCCTAAACTTCCAATCTCACCCTTGTCCAGTTGTTAGCAGAGTTTTGATTTTCCCAAGCCCCCCAGTTCCCTAGCTTAGGACAGCCTCCCAGTGCTGGACTCCCCCAGGCCTGACTGCCTGTCCGCCTGATCTTCTTGGAAGTAATACAGCAAGGGGAGGAACAGGACGGCCAGCGGCTGAGATAAGGACCACAAGAAGTTCCTCACATTACCTCACCCGATAAGGAAACAAGCAGAGAGAGAGATGCAGCGTGAGAGAGAGAGAAGGTCAGACTGGGAGGAATTCTCTGGATGGACGGTGATGCGCAGAGAGGCAGCTGGCGATTGGGGGGTTTTCTCCAATGGTTAAAGGATCTTGCTGGAATTTCGGGTACCAAAGAGACTCTGAGAACTCTGGAGAGAAACTTGGAGATTCTTTAACAGAATGGTGCAGCTACAGAAAATATGACCACTGACTATAGTATTTGTTGAGGCTTTGCTTGAGACTACCTGAGTTATTTGAGCTATTCTTGGGTATTTTAGACTATTAGGATACTCTAAGATTAGATGTAAAGATGACCTCAAGCTGTATGTTCTTCAGCGTATTTACCATCATACATACTGGATGATACTTTCAGCACGATCTACAACACAGAAAAGCCATTTTCCATCCAGTCAATGACAAGAGACGGAACAAAAGTAAATACAGATCTCAAGTTCTGGAGTGTTTTCTACACCATTTCCGTAGCATCAATGGCGGTAAATCCTCTGGAAGGTCTCATGTCGGTTGCAGCAAACCACCAGCTGGTCTCCAGCTCGACAGCTGAGCCACAGAGGCAGCAGCATCGTGCAGCCAGAAGCCCAGCAGACCTGCATGGACACAGGCAGGGAACAGCTAGCAGCCGTGAGTCAAGGAAGTGGGTGAGTTTGAATAAAAAGCCAAAGTCAAGCCTCAATGTATTTTATAAGGGAAAGTGGCCATGCAGCAGACATATTCAAAGCAGACAGTTGAATTCTGCATAAATTAATGACAATCTCAACAGGATCTGATGTATACCATAGAAGCCAATTTCTAAAATGTCATCTTGTACAGAAAAACTCTATTAACTTCCAAGAAGACTGATACACAGATTGTTTGATGAGAGAAGATCATTCTCTGTGGCAGTGTGTGTGGAGGATCGAGAATGCATACATCCTTTATCTTCTGTGATCATGATTTCAGATGAATTTGCCTTTTTCATTTATATCAAGATTTAATGGAATAATTTTGCAGATCTCCTCTCATCAATAGGTTCTTAAGGATCATTTTTTCCAACATTTATTCTATTTCACAGTCAAGCCATTTGGGCCTATATGAAATTAAATGTTTTCTTTGTTTTCTTTATGTTTTTCTCTGAACATGACCTCTACACCAGGTGCACACCGTGTGTGAGTCCAGATCAAACTTTGGGTCTGGTTTTAGGTCTGCAGTCTCGTCCAGGACACTGAGGAGTCAGCACTCCCCAGAAAACGCAGCAAGAGAAAGAAGCCGCGTACGCAACCTGCGACAGGCCTTCCACAGCCTGCAGGTACACTGAACAAATACTCGTTTTTTATTTAAAATAGGCTCCTGCTCTTTTTTACAAGCTGTCATGAACTTTTAGGTATTCCCTTTACATTTGTAGTTTATGGCCTAGTAATTTTTTTGTGTGTTGAATTCAGTTTAGTAAATGTACTTAGATGTGATGTTGAGAGATGTTTCTCATGTACAATGAAATGTTATGGCTTATAAAAAATACAGTTATCCTGTCATTTGTTTATTTATTCACTGACAGAGGTGGTTATCTGTGTGTGTCTCTTTTATGTCCTCGTCTAAACCTTCACTCAGTATTATAAGTTTTAAGTCTTGTTTTACAATTGTCCATCATGTTAGTCAATCGGAATATTTAGACATTTTTGAAAAGTCTGCTTGGAAAAATAATAAAACTTACTACTTTCACGTGTCAATCTATACACTTTGATTTCAGTCATCTAAAATATTTCAAAACTAAAACTGTGAATACAATCTGACTTTAAAATGAGCAATATCTTAAAAGCAAATGTTTGTTATTTTGATATGAATGAAAACAGTTTAGGGTAGAGAAGAAGAGTTGACCTCAGTCGTCCTCTCTCCACAGGCTGCTCTGCCTTCAGTCCCACCAGACACCAAGCTGTCCAAGCTAGATGTTCTGGTTCTGGCTACCAACTACATAGCTCACCTTACAGAGACCCTGCACCAGGGAGGGACGCTAGCTGATCACACCTTGTCTGCCCGGCCGGGTGGATACCTGCATCCAGTTAAGGTATGGAAACCATCCAACAATGTACTGCTTGTCATGCTTATTGCATGTTATTCATGAACAGGTCCTGACCTCCTCGATACAAAGATGAAAACTATCCTATGAAAGAATCAGGCCTTGAGTTTTGTCCCAGTTTGAGGGGTACCAAAAATGGGGTGGCTGTGGCTGGTGGTTGATGGAGTCCGTCGTCTCTCAACCGGAGGCCTGTGTCAGGCCTTCGATCCCCAACGCAGCGTTCGCTGTGTCCTTGGGCAAGAGGCATACCCCAAGTTGCTCCCTCTGCTTAACGGGAGCCCTGATACATTATAACTAGGGCTGTCAGCTTTAACTAGTTTTTATGAATTAATGTCGTAATGTTGCATACACAAGAAGGTTCTTACCAAGCAGCAACCTCCATTGTTGAAAATGCAGCCAATGCTTAAGTGAAAAGTCCTGCAGTTCCTCGAGTGTCTGCTTAAAGTCTTAAGCAAGGTGGTTGTAAGCAAGTAAGGTTGCAGAAGCACAGGAAGTAACATACACACCCATTCAAAAAAGTCTGTTTTTACAGCAGAAATTAACATGTTTACAGCCTGGTTCAAAAAACCTAATAGGTCACGTATTAGCTCACGTCTCGATCAGCACACACTGTACCAGGATTTAATTTTTTGACGACTCATCCATTTTGATTTAATCACAATAAGGCTCGTAGCTGACCTGATTGACAGGCAGGCGCCGTGTAATGGAATGGAATGTGGCTTTAAACCCGCCTCAGCTCCAGCTCTCAGCTGATCCCTGATCAATAAACCAGATTAACACAATATATCAGAGTTTCAAATGTCTATATTTGTGTAGTATGGTCATTTCTGTATTTATATAAAGCCCCTTTGAACGGTAGGACCTTTTGCACGAGCACCCCTTGTACATGGCGTTGTAGGGCGGCAGTAGCTCAGTCTGTAGGGACTTGGGTTGGGAACCGGAGGGTCGCCGGCTCAAGTCTCGGTGCGGCCCAAATATGGAAGTTGGTCTGGTAGCTGGAGAGGTGCCAGATCACCTCCTGAGCACTGCCGAGGTGCCCTTGAGTAAGGCACCAAACCCCCTCCCCACCATCAGCTCAGGAGCGCCCACTGTGGGCAGCTCCGTCACTCTGACAGCTCTCCATTAGTGCATGTCCATAGGATCCTGTTTCTGCATGTGTGTGTATATTTCAGCCTATGTGTGTGTTCATGACTTACAGAGTGTAAAAACTGAAATTTCTCCTTGCAGGATCAATAAAAGTAAATCTTAATCTTAATACAACACATGCATGGCTTTACATAATTATGAAACATGATTAGTTTACAAGACAGGCGGACTCGAAAATAGAACATGACAGCTACTTCACTGACTTTGTGGCTTATTTTGAGCCATTTTAGTCAGATACAGACAGAACACTCTGGGATTTCTCCATGATGAAGGCTTTCTACGTTTCCTGTCTATGCTTGTGCTGAACTGTACCATACCAAAGCACCTCTTTCAAGCGAGCCAAGGATCAGAGCACTCACACTAGTCAAGCGACTCTAGGGGTGAAGTGTGCTTAGGCACAGTACGGATTGCTTAGAGTGAATCAATCAATCATTTATTTGTAAAGTGCCAATTCAGGCAAGGGTTATCTCGAGACACTTTACAAAAAGGTATAGAACATAAACGTTTTTATTGAATGCGCCCTTAGTTTCTTGAAGAGAAGCCCCTGTATATTTGATCATGACTATAAACCCCTCTATTTCAACCCTGCTCAGAACAGACTGTTTCTGTGTCTTGAATATGTAAATGAGCTGTGTCTGACCACTCCCCTTTCTGGAAGGGCTTGGGTGTCTCGGTCTTTCTCGCTCCATGTCCTATTGTTTACAGGGAGAAGGCAGACTCAGGGGACAGAACAAACACCTAGCTGTGGGAGTGTCACCCATCTGGGGGAGGGGCTACTGCCCTTTGTGATGTCATGAAGGGAAAATCGCCAAACGGCCTGTTTGAGCACACATTTTCTGAAAAGTGGAGCAGGCTAAAGACGGAGAGGATGGACTCTGTTGGGCTACGCAGGCTTAGGACAGTCAAACAATGGACTTGGGCCTGCACCTCTGAGAAGCCTCATTTGAGTTATTCACTAAAATCACAAAGAGGCCTAAAAGGACTCTTAATCCTAGAATCCCCTGCGGTACTTCACACCTACGTGTGAAGTAAGGGGGGACCGGAACCTCTCTCTCCTCATTAGAGGGGACCTGAGGTAGACCCCCCATGGAGCAGGCCAGGCTACAAAGCTCCAAGACTTCCATTGCTCGCTCTCTTTCCACTGACTTCAAGTGTTCGGAGACCCAAGCTCACCTCCTGTTTCCTGCAACCATCTTCCTTTGTTTTAAGTTTTGGCACGCAGGTAATCCGCGGCCGGCAGTGTTCTAAATTCCGAGCTTGAATTGTCCAGTGAACGCATCTCAGTTTCTCGGAGAGTCGGTCTTATTCCGTCCTGCAACGAAAGGACATCAAAGGACATCTTTCCACTCGACGGAGAACCAACGATGCCGCTCTCGCCGTAAGGGACCCTCGCCGCCATCAGACGCCTCTGCACCAGGACGGACAGAAGATCTGTTTTATCGCCGGACTCTTTTCCTTTCACCAATCGCGGACAAAGCGATTCACAAGTGAGGCTTAATTAGGTCTGGGCAGAATTAGCTTTAGAGAGTGTTTTTAACAATTGTTTGATTGACGCAGAAACTGTAATTTTTATCTTTGTTGGACCGCTGCGTCCTGAGTTTTAACTGTTTAAAACTCTTGTTGTTCCCGCTTCGGACCGCTGCGTCCTATATGTGTTTAGCGTAACAGCGTTATAACCGGGTATTACTCTTCTGATCAGAAAGGCCAGTGTAAACCGTATTAACTTGAATTCGGCCATTGGTTTGTTTCTGTGAATGAAGGGAATTACTCCGAGTTGTGGCGCGGGAGTCGGACTGTGATCCGGCCTCTTCAGGCACGCATTTCTCTTTTATCCTCTTTTCTCCCCCTTCTACGAACACACACACACACACACACACACACAGATCTATACACTCGCGGCCATCCAGACGCCTCAGAGACACAGATCGTGCAGGGCCGAACTCGGCCTCTTTTAGACATTAAGGCCACATTAGGTCTTTGTTAGGTGTGCGCCATCGGAAGGGCAACCACATGGGACGAAACAATCTACCTCCCCTTCTCTCTCTCTTTCATCCACAGACACACACACACACACACACACACACACACACACACACACACACACACACGCACGCACCCAGGTCTTTTTTTTAGGTGTGCGCCATCGTGAGCGACCACGTGGGTACGAAGCCATCTCCCCCCTCTCTTCTTCCCCCCCTCTCTCTCACACACACACACACACACCTTCCACAAGCCTTGCCTGATAATGTTTGTTGCTTAGATTAGTTTATAATAGTTATTTGTTTGATTAAGCTCATTGATTTTGGATTGATGTTGCTTTGTTTAAATAAATTCTGTTATAATTTTAAGAGAGCAGTTGTTTGTGATTATGCATTGTGATATAAGCTGGGTGCGAAGGCTTTGTGTACGGATTTCACGCCTTCAATTTATTAAATATAGTTATTAAATATTAATAATATTAGTAATTAAATAACTAATTTGAGACTGATTTGAGTGATATTTTGGTTATATTTACCTGAGTACAGGTTGGTGCCCCAAAACTAGATAAAACATAGTTTATTGATATTTTATTTATATTATTAATAATTAAATATAATTATTAAAGAATATAACCAAAGTTGACTTGATACAACCCCAACAACTCTTATCATCATTGGGGGGTTTGTAGACAGACTAGAGACACATATTGTATTTTGTATAATATGGGACTTTTAGAGACCAAAAGACCAGAGTTTGAAAGATGAAAATTTACGTAATGTTTCACAAACCATTATGTGTTTCCTAATAATGACAAACTTGTAAACAAACCAACAGTTTTACAGTTTAACTACGTTAGAAAAGAAAAAAATATACATTATCTTTACTTATGTGACAGTTGTTTGCATTTTGCATGTAAAGTTGTCTGAGTGTTTGTGTGTGCCGTCCTGTAGACTCTCCTGTGAACTGTCCTGTAATAGTCCATTTCTTTGTACACTGTATGTTACCTGTTGGTACCTGTTTTTGGACTACGGATTCAATTTAGCTTTTTAGCTTATTCCGTTATATTCACATAGATGTGATTTGTTAATATATGGTTTAAGTGCACTGTACTAATTCAATAAATGAATGCGTCATAAATGAGACGCCATAAAGCCCCGATATCTGACAACCTTGGACACAGAAGGTTTTGTTGTGGGATTTTATCATATTAGCATGAAGAACAAATACAGATTGCCTTCTCTCTCTCTCCTCAGAAGTGGCCCATGCGTTCCCTGCTCTACTGTGGCAGCGTGGGAGACCTGCTTACAAATGTCCACGCCAATCAGATGCTTCCACCTGGAAGGAAGGGGACACACCCACAGACCTCAACCTTGGAAGTAACCAAAGACTGACGGTTGAGCTTGGGACTTAATCTCCACCACCCTCTTCTCTCCAAAGTTAACCAGCCTTTTTGCTACAGTTCTATGAACTAAACCGATTTTCATTTGTGATAGCCACCATCTTGCGGCAGCCGCCATTACTGTAGTGTCTGTCCAACTGTGACAGCAGCATAGTTATGACAGAATCCCAGCAGTGCTGATATGCAGTACAATGTCACTCCCTCTCCTGTGATATTGCATAAATAACAATCTTCAATTCTCACCTGTGTTGACAAGCTGTTTCCACGCCTGCACTGCTGAAAATGTCTAGATCATTTCACTAGGACTGCCCCTGAAATCCTCCTGACATGGTTGTTCACACATGCATCTCACAGCGGGAGACTATCCCTGTCAGACAGGAAGGGGGATGGGGGGTTTCCTGGGGCAAGACATGATGTAAAAAGAACGACCCAGAAGTGGCGGACGAAGCAACAGTTTGCTATGCCACTGGGCCAAAAAATACTTTTTCCCATTAGCTTACATTGGGAAATAGACCTTTATAAATCAGCAGATACATTTTTTAGGTACATCAACTTCCCGATTCGAGCACTGAAATAAACCTTTTAAAAATAATGAGGTCCTAAAAGTAAATATCAACCCAGGTGGGAATTAGAGACACATACCCACACACACTAGGGGCTGCACAGACTAGTCGGCTTTACAGCAGTGTGATGACATAATGCTCATCAGGATAGAAAATCTCAAACTGTGACTGAGCAGGACTATGTCCGTGAGATGACACAAACACTGTTTACCTGTCTGTTTACCTTTGCACTCACTTATATGGGAGTTGTAGCACACGTGTTATTGTTGCATATTTAATTGCAGCTGTTGCAACCTGCTCTTTCTTAATGCGTTAACTGTCTGCTTTCAGTTTCCATTCAGTTTTACGAATACATATTTCTGCTATTTGCAAAGCATTTCCTTCTCCTTTGGTTTTGTTGGTAAATGCATCAGTGAGTAGTCGACATGGACTCGACTGTTATCACATGACTGTCCACTTCAAAAATTGGTCATGTGACCCCTAACAAACACACACACACACACTCTGTAAGAAACAGGAGGTCACCCATTTCAAACGTCAGATAAATTATCTTTTTTAACTAATCCCTTCTGTTGGTTGTTTGTTTAAGTAATACCGGTAATAAAGAGCAGGGTGCTCAACCAGCAGCTACAAGGAAAACTGCCACTTTACTCTCTCTGTAGGAGAAGTCAATAAAATACTAAAGGCAAGATGCAGAGTGCCTTTTCGTTTCACTGTAAATGTTAACATGTACAGTGTACATCTGTGCCCTGCATGTATTGAATCACGAGCACACACACAGTCACAGCTACACACCATGGTAAACACAGAGCACAGAGAGATTTAGATTCACCCTCAATGGAAGTATCTATTAATTTTCCGAGCGTTAGACAGCCGGTTGTCAGGAACAGATTAAACACAAGAAAATAAAGGCGGCTGCTCTTGACTAATACCATTATAAATCACTACATGCAGGAACAGTGCGTATCCTTTCATCTTGATTTAAAACGTTGTACAGTGTATTTGGTTGTGCTTTTCAGACGTTACTTTCACTGTATGTGAGACTTATGACTCCTGTGTGCTCTTGTTTTTTTTTAATGTAAATATTGGCTGCTCAATTGATTTGAAATATATCCTGAATACAATGTGTAATCTCCCAAAGCTACGATTTTGTGGTCAAGATCAAATTTGTGAGCAAACCGCACCATCTTGAAGGACTGCGTGTCGCTCCGACCTACATGTTATTTCAGGACATGTTTGGTAAAGATACAGTGGCTTGCAAAAGTATTCATACCCCTTGAACTTTTCCACATTTTATCACGTTACAACAACAAACATAAATGTATTTCATTGGGATTTTATGTCATAGAGCAACACAAAGTGGCGCATAATCGTGAAGTGGAAGGAAAATGATATGTGAATTTCAATTTTTTCACAAATAAAAAACTGAAAAGTGTGGCATGCAAAAGTATTCAGCCCCCTGAATCAATACTTTGTAGAACCACCTTTTGCTGCAATTACAGCTGCAAGTATTTTGGGGTAGTTTTCTACCAGCTTTGCACATCTAGAGACTGAAATTTTGGCCCATTCTTCTTTGCAAAATAGCTTAAGCACAGTCAGATTGGATGGAGAGCATCTGTGAACAGCAATTTTAAAGTCTTGCCAGAGATTCTCAATTGGATTTAGGTCTGGGCTATGACTGGGAGATTCTAACACATGAATATGCTTTGATTTAAACCATTCCATTGTAGTTCTGGCTGTATTTTTAGGGTCGTTGGCCTGCTGGAAAGTGAACCTTCTCCCCTGTCTCAAGTCTTTTGCAGACTCTTGGCCTGTATTTGGCTCCACCCATCTCCCCATCACCTCTGACCAGCTTACCTGTCCCTGCTGAAGAAAAGCATGCCCACAGCATGATGCTGCCACCACCATGTTTCACAGTGGGGATGGTGTGTTCAGGGTGATGTGCAGTGTTAGTTTTCTATAACCTAATCCTGCTTTAAACTTCTCCACAACATTATCACTGATCTGTCTGATGTGTTTCTTGGGCGTCATGATGCTGTTTGTTCACTAATATTCTCTAACGAACCTCTATGGTCTTCACAGAACAGTGTATTTATCTCAGTATTTATTCTGAGATTAGATTACACACAGGGGGACTCAATTTACTTATTAGTTGACTTCTGAAGGAAATTGGTTGCACTGGATTTTATTTAGGGGTATCAGAGTATAGGGGGGCTGAATACTTTTGCACACCACATTTATCAGTTTTTTATTTTAAAAAAACAAACATGAAAACCATGTATCATTTTCCTTCCACTTCACAATTATGCGCCACTTTGTGTTGGTCTATGACATAAAATCCCAATGAAATACATTTACGTTTGTGGTTGTAACGTGACAAAATGTAGAAAAGTTCAAGGGGTATGAATACTTTTGCAAGCCACTGTAATACAAACAAATCATCACGTCATTCACATTAAATACAGTTGCAAGAAAAAGTATGTGAACCCTTTGGAATTTCCTAGTTTTCTGCCATAAAATTTGTTCTGATCTTCATCTAAGTCACAACAATAGACAAACACAGTCTGCTTAAACTAATACCACATAAACAATTATATGTTTTCATGTTTTTGCTGAACACATGTAAACATTCACAGTGCAGGGTGGAAAAAGTATGTGAACCCTTTGATTTAATAACTGGCAGCAATAACCTCAACCAAACGTTTCCTGTAGTTGCAGATCAGACCTGCACAATGGTCAGGAGGAATTTTGGACCATTCCTCTTTACTTTTCAGTTCAGCAATATTCTTGTGATGTCTGGTTTGAATCGCTGTCTTGAGGTCATGCCACAGCATCTCTATCGGGTTGAGGTCAGGACTCTGACTGGACCACTCCAGACCAGGCCACTTTCTTCTGTTGTTGATTTACTTCTGTGCTTTGGGTCGTTGTCCTGTTGCATCACCCATCTTCTGTTGAGCTTCAATTGGTGGACAGATGGCCTTAAGTTTTCCTGCAAAATGTCTTGATAAACTTGGGAATTAATTTTTCTGTCAATGATAGCAATCTGTCCAGGCCCTGATGCAGCAAAGCAGCCCCAAACCATGATGCCCCCTCCACCATACTTCACAGTTGGGATGAGGTTTTGATGTTGGTGTGCTGTGCCTTTTTTTCTCCACACATAGTGTTGTGTGTTCCTTCCAAACAACTCAACTTTGGTTTCATCTGTCCACAGGATGTTTTGCCAGTAGTGCTGTGGAACATCCAGGTGCTCTTTTGCAAACTTCAAACATGCAGCAATGTGTTTTTTAGACAGCAGTGGTTTTCTCCGTGGTGTCCTCCCATGAACTCTATTCTTGTTGAGTGTTTTACGTATCGTAGATTCGTCAACAGAGATGTTAGCATGTGCCAAAGATTTGTGTAAGTCTTTAGCTGACACTCTAGGATTCTTCTTCACCTCATTGAGCATTCTGCGCTGTGCTCTTGCAGTCATCTTTACAGGACGGCCACTTCTAGGGAGAGTAGCAACAGTGCTGAACTTTCTCCATTTATAGAAAATTTGTCTTACCGTGGACTGATGAACATACTTTTTCTTGCAACTGTATATCCTGAACTTTATACCAATTATACTAAGAAGAAGAAGCAGAAGAAGAAGAGTGTTTTTGCAGCCCTAAAAACTAACCACCATGGTTCCCTTTTTATCTAGTTGATTGTGGTATCACCATAGTGTGTGTGTGTGTGTGTGTGTGTGTGTGTGTGTGTGTGTGTGTGTCTGTGTGCCTGTGTGTCTGTGTTGGGGAGTGAAAGGATGGATGGACAGATGGGCAGAGAGGGAGGGATTGTTTCTGGAACACAGCTGCTGTGTGATCACTTTGTATCTCTGAAGTAATGACCACTTAGTTCTCATTACAACTCTGCCACAGAATGTGACCTTTGACCCCGAGTTCAACATCTGCAATAACATCTTGTGTGTGTTGGTTATCAGAGACAATCCTAATGACGTAAACACATTTTCCATCACCCACATTTATTCCATATCTTAAATGACTCTAATGAAAGCATCCATGAAGAACTTAAATTATAATAATTTGAACATGTTTGAAGCATGCAGGGCAATGAGTTAATGTGCCTGTGGCTATGTTGAATTAATAACTGTAAGATGATGATGATGGTCTAAACACTTCCAGATACTGACAAAATTAAGCTCTTTTTTAATATCAAAGGAGCAATATGTAACTCTGACTCCTAGTGTTTAAAATGGGTACCCGCCCCCTCCTCTCTAGAGTCGTTGCTCACGCAGGTCACCATGTTGCAGACACTGAAGCTTCAGTGTTTATCCAGCTCTGCATGGGTCTGTAAACCTTTCTGTGTTCTAACCTCTCTCCATTTTTCAAAATCATCTCCAATATTGATCCTAGTTTGAGCACGTTTCTGCTCGTGGAGCTTATTAGAAACATGCAGAGGCTTTTTAGGTCGGGTACAATCACTTCTATCTGAACCACTTCTCTTGCCCACTTCCATCATTGCAACACCTGTTGACCTGATAACTGCTCTCATATCTGGCAAACCGAGGGGTGTCCAAAACAACCGTGTGGGGGTGTCTTAAAACCACCTACCTTCTCTGGTCCAAACAAATCCAGAGCATTCAGGACCAGAATCTAAAGTTAGAAGGAGGACATACTGGCTGCTGCATTGTTGTCAGAGAAGCCAACATAGCATGTTTCATTAATGTCTGATCATATAGTACATAAACATTACTTCCTCAAGAGGCCAACATGAATGTTAAAGTCAGTAGCTTTTCAAGATTTTCATGTTTTTGGTTTGTTTTGGTTGACTGGGGACTGGACGGGGAGCTTCAATTCAAGTCAATTCAAAAAACTTTATTTGTCCCTGGGGGGCAATTCAAAGGCACACAGAGCAGTAAATTAACAACAGTGCAAGTAAAGCTGGTGTGTTTCCTCCAGCTAATGACAGCACGCAGGTGAGTTTAGGAGTGGATATGATTCAGCGATTAGACGTGAGTTAAACCGGCAAAAATGACAGACATGGACGTAGTGGCAAAAACGAGGAAATATAAACAAAGTGAGGTGAAACGGCACGCAGATTAAGCTCAAACTGAGTGTGAACCTTATGTTGGCTTTTAACAATGGATGTGGGGTTGGTTCTTTTGTACAGGCAGGTGACAAACACAGGCGGTTAGCTTGTGCTAGCGTGAGTTAGCTTCAGTGTAGGTACAAATAGTAAACATACACATTACATCCTGTAGTGAGTGTGAGCTTCAGGAGGAGGGGCCCAGTTTGAATGTTGTGTTTACAAGCTACAACGAACAATGACACTGAATCTACCTCTAAATTATGGCCAATTTGTCCAGCGTGGTCACCATGGACTGTCCAGCTACATCACACAGTTCATTAACAAAATATACATGAATCATTCTTGTCCATGAGGAAGAGGGACATTCAAGAAGGCTTTAAATACTAACAAATTCACATTTCTGTCCATATGTTGAATGATCACCTAAAGTTGGCTTTGTTGCTTTTTTTGTTCTTTGAATAGTTATGCACATGTGTTAGAGACTCCACCTGTTGTCTTCAAACCAGTTAAGATTTTCCCGGCCTAACTTGATATGATGTCTTTGGCGTTTGGTGAGTCTGTTTGGTGCATTTCTTGTGAGTTGGGTGATTTCATGACAATAAACCAACACACACAAGAGCCGATGTAAGCATTTTCCCTGGTAAAAGTTAGGAGATAGAAAGGAAAGCAACTAACAAGTAAAGTTGAGATGAAAAAGAGAAAGTGTCCTCCTTTTTTCAGTGTCGGTATCTCAACTCGTAATTTATTAAGTATTATATTTAGTCTCTATTTAGTTTTACTCTGTAATTTCCCTTACTTAAATCCCTTCCAATAAGTCATGTAGATATATTTGGAGGAGGGGGGGGACTCCAACAGATGAGAGCCCAGACTAACCAAAATCATCTTCCCCTTCAAACAAGATGGGCTCAGCTCCATGAGCAACAACCCGGCGTTCAAGGCCAGCTCTATAAATCTGTCCAGGATTGGGGGGGGGGGGGTCCAGCCCTGTCCAGCCCTGGTTTTGGGTTCATAATGATGACTAATTTG